CCTGGGATCAGCTTCAGAAGTGCCAAACTTTAAGGCTTGCTGTTGTTTTTCAAACTCTCCCAAAGAAAAGGGAACCAGCACATGGAGACCACACTGAGCATCACCCAAGCTTCCAGCACAAACTCCCTGGGAGCAGGTGGGTGCTTTGTCTGCACACACCATGCTCAGAGCTGAGAGGGCTCCTTTGCAGGTGGGTGAGCTGCTTTACTGGCACAAACTGCTCAGGACAGGGGCAAAACTTCCAAAGCATCTTTTCAGAGCTGGTGAGCTCATTGTCATGCACTTCCTTGAGTGGGCTGGGCAAGGCTGACTCCTGCCTGAGCACCACGAGGCAGTGCCCAGGGAGCTCCTGTGCCAGGGAGCACCGTGGCAGCTGGGTATGAGTGCATGCATGGACTGTGGAGAAGATCCACGTGGATGTAAAGATGAAGCAGGGATGCTGCAGGGATCCATGAACCTGGAAAAACAACAGCCCAGAGGTTTATGGAGGGGCTGCTAGCTGATGGAATGCAGAGCAGCCTCAGAAAGGAGTGAGGACATCCGTGGTCACCACTCGAGACCTCACTGGAGTGAGCAGGTTAATAAAACCAGAAATGAGCATCTCAAAGCCTGACTTGAAAAATAAGCCTGTCTTTACAGGGGTTTTTTTGGGATTTGAGCAAGCTCATGGTCTCCTTTGCACACAGTGGAGGGAGACCCTGGCAGTGCCTGTGTGACTGTCACAGCAGCTGAGAGTGAGGATAACTCACAGCCCAGCACTGCCATCCCCACAGAAAACTATATTGGAAATTAAAGGTCACAGAATTGATAGTAAGGCTTAAGAAAACAGCAATTATTCTGCTAGGAAGAAAAGCTAAATTACCAGTAGTAGGAGTGGGGGGAGGGAGGCGGGGAAAGAGCATTATTGATCTAAATATCAAGTTGGCAGATACACAGAGTACAATCTAGAGGTTTTTTACACCTCTGGGCTCATTCAACCCACACAATAAAAAATGCAGGCCTATAAAGATGGAATAAGAAGCAATCAATTAGGATGGCATTTGCTTGTTTCCGTGCTGCAGTTGGGCAGTCACATCACAATTAATGATTTATTAGGAGATTTTCTCCTCCCCCCCTCCACAGTTTTACACAGACTGCTGCAACCAGACCACAGTTGTTTATTAATTTTCCTGCTTTTCAAGCATCTTTGTTAGCAGAAAAGGTAAGCTCTAGCCTGGGATGCCAGCATGGGGTTGGGTGGATGCCCTGAAACATGAGGAGCTGTGGGTTTTATTCAGCCAGTGGATCCCCCTGAGTGCTGGGCTGTCTGGCTGCACATCACCTTATCTCCAGAGCCTGAAGAGCCAGGCTGGCAGCAGGAACTGGGGAGGGATGGGACTCCCCACCACCACATGCACTCACTCTCATTTCAGTTTCTCCCCGCCTAAGGGACCTAGAGAGAAGATTCAGCACTTTGCAGCAGTCCTATTTGTCAGGAGAATGGTTCAAAGTCTAATAAGAGGACTGAGATGCCCTTATTCTTCTGTTAATCCATAGCTATGGGTCATGAAACACTGTTTGTCCAGGCAATTCAGGCTTCATAAACCACTGCTGCCTGGAACAAATGGTGTGCCATCATTAGTGAATCTTGGAGGCAACAGAAAGATCTTTCCTGCAGACATTCATCTGAACAAGTCTTTGCCTTCACAGCTTTTTAGCAAAATCAGCCAGGGAGAGAAGTAAGAACATTGGGAAAAAAAGGGAATTCCCTTTAGAAGGAAGCCTGAATAATTATTTTTGTGTTCATCTGTCTCAGTCCCACACCTCCATAGGAGTGGCTGCAGTAGCTAATTGGTTTTACTCAGCTGTGCATGGCTTCACTGCCCAGACTCTGGATTTATTGCACAAAGTCAAGTCATTGTGTGAATTCATCATTTGTCCCCCACATCAATCCCTTTCTCCTCTGGGATGATATTTGTCTGCATGTTTATGTGCTGTCAGGTCCAAATGACACGAAAGACAAATTCTGGGATTAACCAATTTTAGTACCAACCCAAAAATCAGAATGAATTATTTCCTTTTCAGCAAGGCATAACTTCAGAGGGGCCAGCTCAAGGGGAGTGGGAGAAGGAGTTTTGCCAGCACAGGCCTTTATAGGAGGGGAAGAAAAAAACACCCCACAGAATTTAAGGATTTAAAACATGCCAGTTTCAGAACTGAACCTTATCTGAGAAGGGAAGTGTATGATAATCAGAGAAATCCTCGTCAGTGGTCTTTAAAATGTTTCTGGAAATCAAGGACGTCAAATGCAACGATTTGAAGTGAAGCTAAATGAAATACATGGGAATATGAGTAAATGCTACAAGTATAGGTCAAGCACTGCTTTATCAATCTTGTGTTTACTCCAGCAGCTCCTCTGTTGCCCATTGTTTTACCTTGTTTGAATAGATATGCTTCTCTTTATTTGAAAATCAATTGTAATCTTATGAAAGAGAACTTAGAGCAGAGGGAATGCTGGAAAGCAGCATAGTGAAAGATGTTCATTATCCTGAATTACTCCAGGGTAAGGAGGGAATGACATTAAAGAAGTGTGGGTAGCATTGAGCTGCCATCCTTCCTTTAGCAGGTGCAATTTAATGTCATTACTTAATTTTATTTAAGGTAAAGACAATTGTGGACAATACACATTACAGCATTTACCTATAATAATGATAGTGGGGGAGTTTGAGAGGGAGGAAAGGCAGACTCCAGTTTGAATTCCCAGTGACTGCTGATCTGTAGCTGATGAAAATTACTCTTTTCTTCGTGGCACATCTCTCCAAGATTTGCTTTTACCCTGAATAGCTTTGGATGGCTCCTTTGATTCCAGTGAAGGTGCTCTGTTCTCATCAGAATAATACTTTGCTTTATGAGCACAGTAAGCAGTATCCACTCTCAATTCTGCTTAGGACTGATAATTTCCTACCTGTACCTAACAGAGGTCAACAACAAGTAGATGAACTCCTGGATTGCCCAGGATGTGCTGAGCATTGTGGTTTTCACCCACATCGGTTTGGAAAAGCTTTATAGGCTGCTGTGATCTTCCTCCAGGCTTTATATTGGCATGTACTTGTGTATTTATAATTTTTAATATAACCTCATGTTTTAAAATATGTAAGCTCTATCACTGTGGACTGAAAACAGATGTAGTGATGGCTGCTAGAGGAGCTGCTGTAAAATCTGTTGGGTGGGGTTTTTCATGTAGCCCAAACTCCTTGGCAGCACCTGGGGTGTGACCTAGGTAAGACTGGCCCTCTTAAATGGGTTAAATACAACTGATGGTTTGTTCTTAATGACTTAATTCTGTTTGGTTCTGCAGGGCATAAGCCTAGGATTGACAGATGAAATCAGTGGTCCTGGGTTGAAGATTTGAGATGTGTTTTTTTAACTTTGGAGTTAGCAGTGCAGCCTAAAAGAGACTGGGGGCTCATCAGCTTGTCACTGCTGCCATGCCATACAACATTAATTTAATGTAATGGGCAATAACTAGTGTGGATTTAGGAAGAGATGATCCTGTTTAACTAATCTGCTTCATTTCAGACAAGGTTGATAGTAGAGTGTACATATGGCATAATCTAATGGATTTTTCAAGAGGCTTTTGATAAATTTCCATATATTTCCCTTGCTTAAGCTGTGTGCCACAGAGACTGCAAATTGGGCAAGAGAATGGGTAAAGAACAAGTGAAATCAGGGGAAATAAAGAGAATAGAAGAGCTGTAGCATGTAGTGGAATAAGAATCCTGCAGCTTCCCACCGTTCTTCCCCACCAGTGGGCATGGCTGGAAAGAGATGCCATCTGCATTCACTAATGAAAACTTGTTTAGGACAGGTGCACAGCAGAAAAGAGGGCAAGATGCCATTCAGGATACCACTAAAGGACAAATTTAAATTTACATTAGCATAAGGCAGAGTGCATATTTTTGCTGTCAGCGGTGAAATAATATATACTAAATACAAGCATCCATAACAGAGAGATGCCAAAGGATGGGGATGGGTTAGGAGGGGAAACGGACTCCTGTGCTAAGAAAGGAATGATTTATTATCATTTACACAACCTGGCATTTGTGCACACCAAAGGCCAGATTTTAGAAGTGCTCTGCTCCTGCAGTTTGGGGCCAGAATTTCAGTTGCAGACTCCGAGCCAGCCGCTCCCGGCGTTTCCCCAGTGTTTAATTTGCCATATGTCAATCAGAGTGTTGATTTGCAAGTGCTGCTAATAGGCAGTGCTGAGACATGAGGACAGTTGAAAATTTGGGAATGTGTCTTACTGGCAGCTTTTGAGTCCGAAACACTGGAAGTATTCACAGGCCAGATCCCTGATCAGCCATGAGATAAATCAGGGACTGGAAAGCAGAAAAGAATGCAGTTAATGTGTCAGGATGTGCCTGAACAGGACATGCTCCATGGAAATCAGTGCTAAATGAGAGAATTAAGCACCAGGAAAGGCTGTGGCAAAATCACAAGAAACACTTCAAATAATGAGACAAAATCAGGGGCAAGAAAGAAATAAAATGAAGTAAAATCACTGAAGAAGCAATAAAATGCCATCACAGAAATCTGAGTGAGGGAAAATACCTTGGGATAAACGGAGATAGTCATCCTAAAAAATTTAGACATTTCAGTATGCCATTTTCCCCTGCTGTTGACAATTAACTCTCTGGTTGCTGTAATTGAGCAAGAATATCAAGGATGTTTTTTGCTGGATTTCTTGGAGCATTTGCTGGATCTTGCAGTGGCTGTGTGATAGTGGGTTTGTTTTCCTTCGGGCTGAGAGGTGAAGTTAGATTTTGGGAAAATACTCAAAGGAAAAAAAGAGGAAAAGCAGAATTGAGAAAGAGATGAGTTGCTCATTACAAATAACTCCATGGTCCCCTTCATGGGACTGGCTTCCCTGTGGGCACGGTGATGGAAGGGAGAGGGGAGGGAGGTGTGAGGATGGACAGAAAGCTCCCACCATGACCAGCCCTGTGATTCCTTTGCAGTATTCAGGAGAAGTGCCTGAGAACAGAGTGGAGGTTGTGGTGGCAAACCTGACGGTGATGGACCGGGACCAGCCCCACTCTCCCAACTGGAACGCCATCTACCGCATCATCAGCGGGGACCCCTCGGGCCACTTCACCATCCGCACCGACCCCGTCACCAACGAGGGCATGGTCACCGTGGTGAAGGTAAGGGGGAGCCCAAGCACACCGTGCTGTCACCCTTCCAGCTGCAGGGATCACCAGGAGCCTGCAGTTGTTTCCTGTCTGGAAATACGAGTGCTTGGATCTGTAGTTTCCCATCTGTGTGTAGGAGTCCTGAGCACTCTCCAGTGTATGGCACTGCTTCTGGGTTTCCCAGCTCAGCCCAGCCCACCATGAGCTTTCAAAAAAGCCTCACATGCTGAACGGACTCCCAGCATCAGAACCTGACCTCCACCTCCTGCTTCTCCTTGGCTCTTTGAGCTCTGTAAAAAGGAACAAGCCTGGGCTGGGCAGCCCTGCCCTTCTTGAGCCAGAAAAACCCCTGTTTGGTGTGGATCAAGAGCACTGTTTCACTGCCTGGGTCAGTCAAGAGATCCTCTGTGAAAGCAGGGAGTGTAGGAGAGGAGTGAATTTTCTGGTAACAGAAGGGAAGTAAATTTTCCCTTTGACTGAGTTGTTTGGCAACAAAACTGTTGGAGAGATTTTCCTTTTCCTGGTATTAAGTGATAAACACACAGTGTGGGATAGATCCTCAATTCAGGACAGCCCCACTCAAAGTCACCCCCCAGGCTGGATCAGCAGGAGATCTTGTCCAAAGACTCCCAAGAAATCAAACCAGAAATATCCACCATCCCTTCTTCCCTCCATGTGCTGGTAGAGCTGGGAGCCTCAAGATACCTGCTGCAAGTGCCAGATTGTGTTTTCTTCCTTGCCCCCATGTTTCCAAAGAACATGACTCTATCTTCATTGGAGCATTCGCTTCTCTTTCAGTTTTGAGGCCCGTATTTTTGCAGTTGTTACACACAGCCGGGACATCACTGGGACCCTTCAGCGTTCACTGAAGCTCTTCCCACATCAGATGCTGTGGATGCTCCCTCTGACTATGAAAAACAGCAAAGACATCACATGTAGGCTGCTGAGATGTGCAGGAGCTGCACAACACACACTGCATGTGGAGAGGATTAATACCTCCTGGGGTGGATAAAGGCAGCACCTTCTGATAAGTCTGGCCTTCCCTGACAAAAAGTTTAAATCAACTATATAGCTAGAAATACTAAAGAGCAGCATGATTCAAGAACAGCTCTGTGTTGAGCCTTGCTTCCTTGTTATTAGCCAAACAAGTTGCAGTCATTCCTAATGTGCAGTTTGTCTCTTAGGAAAAGTGGCATCAGTGAGATGCCAGTGGGGTCACGCTGGCAGGAACGTGTGAGCCTGTCCTGTTCCCTGGCCCTTGGGCTAAGTGTGTGTGTCTGCAAATGCTGCTCTGCTGAAACTTCAAGGGACACATCATCCTACCTGCCAGATGATATTTCAGCAAGGTCCTCTTCTTTATCACTTTTTGTTGCTCTTACTATGAAACCTCTTCAAGCTTAGACACGTGTATATGGTTGTACATATGTGTGCAAGTATACACATATCCAAATCTGTATTTTCTGCTTAAAAAGAAAACATTCAATGAAGAAAAGTGCAAAAACTTAACTTCCACTGACATCAGCAGCCATTCTGAAATCAAAATGCTAACATTTTCACTGCAAGTAGGGGAAGACCCCTTATTCTTAATATTGCAAAGTGTCAGGACTGTAGTTTAAAGGCACATCAAAGTGAACAACAGGGGATTTGCATGATCAACACTGCTGCACAAGGACTTGTGCATAATGAACCAACCCTTATTCACAACTTGCAGGCAAAAAGCAGGGCAAGATTTGTCAAGACACCATTGATGCTGGTGTTAATTTTCCACTGCTGTGTAACCCACAGTGATCACAAAGCAGAGAACCACATGAAAATCCGATCTCATCAAGATGAGCTCAGAGCTAGAAATCACATTGGATGTCTTCACTACATCACCTCACCTGATCCTCCTGGCCACCAGGGTTCCCTACCTCTATCTGGCTTTTTGGTGTATTTTCAGCAAGGAGAATGAGTGAAATTGCTTGTGATTAAAATTTCATGGTGAAGAAGGGAAGACTCTTAGGATTCTACCTTCTTTGAAATATTTTGTTCTCTGTTAATAAGTGAATATGCTTAAAGGTTTGGGGGATGTATTCTCATCAGACTGGGTGGCCAGTCAGAGCTTGTTCTTTGCTGTGTTGGAGCAGCTTCTTGCTGGTTTGATCACTGATGTGGGTTGAAAACACAGGTAAAAAATTAAAGTCAAGTGAAGAACCATTTATTTACAGACCGTACATGGCTGGATTTTTACGTGGCTCTTCAAAGACACTCATAGATGACTCCTGCTGCAATCAAAGGAGTGACAGTAACAGCACAGGGAGGGGGGCTCTGTGCAAAATCCCACCACTTCACCAGCATTTTAGGGGCCTGAAATGGAGGGCCAGAATCCTTCCGAGCCAGATTTCCCTTTGGAGTTCAGACTATGCTCATGGGGGCCAGTTTGCAGCTGCCCTCAGCAAAACCCCATCTGTAGCTCCAGTGTGACCACCAAAAGTATAACATTTCCCATTTCTGTTCTTGCCTTTCCAAACCATTTCCATAACTGTGCAAGACCCTAATCTTCAAAGAAAGCCTTGATCAAGGGCAGAGGGAAACTTCCCACTCAGACGAGACACTGCGGAGTCTGAAGACAATCTCCCAGAGCAGCAGTGGCTGCCCTGTGGCAACCAGCTAAGTAAAATGTTATTATAAACTCTGCATGGATCAGAGCTGTGAATTTATAATGGAGATGCTGCTGAAGCTTCAGTTATTATTTGTTCAAATTTGTTCACTTCAGTTCAAAGTACCCCGAGAAAAGGAGGACACGTGGCAAGCCCCCGGCATCGCTCTGCTGCAGCCAGGCCGGAGGTGCTCGTGAAGGAGGAGGATGTGCAGCATCTCCAGGGGATATTCCACAGCCAGATCACACACCAACCATCCAACAAGGAGTATCTGCAAAAGTGCTGCTTTTTCATTTCATGTCTAGTGCTTCTTGGACATGAAAGTGAAAAGTAGGCAAGAGTCCCACATGTCCTTGTCCCAAATGTAGCAGCTCTGTGGGCTTTTTCAGGATCCTGCTGTCATGGAATCAAAGAAAATCTAGGATCATCAAGTCCAGCTGTTAACCTAGCAATGCCAGGTCCACCATGTCCCTAAAACCACAACAAGTGACTGGTGTACAGCATTTCCAGTGAGATGCATGGAGGTGGAAGGGAGGAGTGTGGTGTGAGGAGCACAGAGTGCTCTGTGCACCATTATCCTCAGAGGAAGGCAGTTTTAGGGAGCAGAGGTATGAACAGTTCTGGTATAAATTGCTTATTAAGGTGTGAAAGAAGTTCTGCCTTAGGCTGGACAGTGTCTGGCTGCAAGGGGCTGCTGTCCCATGGGGTTCAATGGCCCAAACTGCCAGGACAGCACAGACTTGATTCTACCTTATTTTTTTTCTTTTTTACAAAACTGTGTGAAATAGGATTCAGTGGACAGAGGAGAAATGAGCCTATCAGCTCTGTCTTGCAGACTGAAGTGTGGTGAACACTGTTTGGTGACACTGATGCCTCCTAGACAGCCTTTGGAGTGCCTGATCCTGGTTCAGCTCTGCTCCTTGCATGGTTTTTCTGCAGCCCAAGTTTTCTTGCTACCAGAAGAAAGAGGAAGAAGCTGAAAGAGCAACCCTACATTTTTGCAGAGCTGTGTGTGGTCAGTGTGTCCTGAGCATCAGCAGTAGGGAGCTGCCCACATCATTCCCCATGGAGCTGCTCAGCCCCCAGCTGCCTCTGAGCCCCTTTGGGAGGGAGGGGCAGGGTGGCTGTGGACAGCCTAGCAAACAGAGCAGCATGGAAAAAAAAAAAAAAGAAAAAAAGAAAACTGGGGGAATATAAATTAGAGGGAGTGTGAAAAGAAATTGAGGAAATGCATTAGTCAAATTGTTTCAAGGCCTTGAATAGTGTTTAAATGGGAACTTTTAGCATGCATTGGTTTTGAATGCAGCACAAGTCCGTGAGTCAGCACGGGTGGGTGTACTGGGAGTCTTTATGCTTCCTTTTATTTATTAAATGTTGGCCCTGCCTGTCAGGAAGCCATTTAGCATCGGGAACATTTGCACTTCAATCGAGTAGAGATTCCGCTGTTTTACCTTTTGCCCCTGAAATTTGTTTCTCTCGTGTAGGCTCCTATGATTTGATTTCCCTCCTGACAATACTGGGTTTTAAACAGGACGTGGCAGGCAGCTCCTGCTGCTGTAAATCCCTGTCCAAGCCGGTGTAGCTGTGGCGTTTTACACCCTGAGTGAGTGCTTTGCAGACTCAGCGCAGGAGAAGGTATTAAGGAGGATGGATATGCTTCTAAATTTATAAATCACGGCAAAGCAGTTTTTAACAAGCAGAGGTGTGATCCTGCATAACTCAAGCCTCTCTGGCAGATGATTAGCGACTTCCCTCATAATAATTAGTGGGATGGTTTAGAAACTATTATTACACTGGGCTCAGTCAGTCGTGCCAGCAAAGGCTTTTCACTCTGTCTGGCTCCTGGGACAGGCACATTGTCTTCATGTGTGTGTTGAGAAGAGATCTGTGGCCTCCCAGCAGCAAAACCCAGCTGTAAGAGCTGTAGGCAACCTCCAGAGACCACGAGGTGCCTTGCAGGAGGATGAGAGGTCCCACTGGAAGGCCCACCTGCTTAACCTGACCAGGGATTGTTCCTGGCAGCTCCACCTTTGCTTATAAACTCATTTAAGAGGGGAAATAAAGAGCCCTTCGGGCTCATGAGTCCACAGAGACTGTCCTGGTTCCAGAGTCAGCAGTTTCAGTGCTAATAGCACTGCTAAGTGCCTGTCCATCCCTCTGAACAGACTCCACCTGTTGCATTAGGTGGGTTTGTTCATTTGATGCTCAACTCTCACAGGCAGGTTGTCTTTTGGAAACCACTTAGCATTGGAACAAAACACAGGGCAAATGCTCCCTGCTGTTTGCAGTTTTGCCTTTGTGGAATTTTTTTAACTACTTGACCCTCCAAAAACTGGGAGGCCAAATTCTCCTCTGGATTGAAGTTGCTCTGGATTTACACCTTCAAAAGAACTGAGCTCAGGAGGAAACAAGATTGGGCTATGACTTTGATATCATCTGCCTTCTAGTCTTGCAGCTTCCAGCCAGAAGGTAGAATTTATCCTCTGCTTGGCTCTACACCTGCTTGTTTGTTTCTTTTAGGCAGTTGATTACGAGATGAACAGAGCTTTCATGCTGACAGTGATGGTATCAAACCAAGCTCCCCTGGCCAGTGGCATCCAGATGTCCTTCCAGTCGACAGCAGGAGTCACCATTTCGGTCACAGATGTCAACGAAGCCCCGTATTTCCCAACGAACCACAAGCTGATCAGGCTGGAGGAAGGGGTGCCGACGGGCACGGTGCTGACCACGTTTTCGGCGGTGGATCCCGATCGCTTCATGCAGCAGGCAGTAAGGTGGGACACCAGGCAGCCTGGGGGCTCCCCTGCAGCTGGGGGCTTCAGCTGCACGAGTTTGGGGAGCCCAGCAGCTGGAAGCTGATTTCCAGACTGGCTGGAAACGATGGGATGTGAATGAGATCTTGGCAGGGAGTGGCACCTGCAGTCGAGCGCTCGCACAGCGTCCTGCAGGTCTGTAAACCCACAAACCCCTGCTCCAGGTAAGCCAGGCTCTGAGCAGCTGGGTCAAGGAGAGCAGAGTTGGATCCTGTGCTACTGGCTTGCTGTGGGGCAGATCACACCTTCAAATGAAGCAGATTGCTGCGTTGCTACTGAAGTCAGGGCTGCTTTGTACCCCGTCTTTGGCTCTGCCTCACCCAGGGTGCTCTGACCTGTGTGGTTCATGCATTTCATAATCACAGAGGTTTAGAAAAAGCCATCTTCGTTATTTCTATTTTATGGGGTGGAAACTGAGGCATAGAAAGGGCTAGGCCTGGGTTTTCAAAGGGAATGGCTGGGATTTTTAATCATGCCTTGTGTTGCTTCCAGAGCATTTAGGTTGAACCTTGCTTAAAAGCACAGTGCAAGAGGAGCTGTGGGCTAGTTCAGAGCAAGGCTGGTGGGGTTACAAACAGCTGCTGGGCAGGCTTTTAAAGTGCCAAATTTTTCAGTGTTGCTGAGCAGTCAAACACCCATTCACAGGCCACTGGCACTTGGTCTGTATCTCACCAGCGCTCCCCTTGCAGGTGCAATTTCCTCCAACTTTCCCTTTCTCTTCAGAACACCTGCCTAACATAACCTCCTCCTTAGCTGCTTTCCCTATGAATGGGATTCAGCTGGCAAAATTTTAACCTTGTAAAAGTCAGATTTCTATCCAAACAGCTTAAGATCACTTTTAATTCATGCTGTGACCAGGAGGACGTCACTAACTCTGTTTTGTCCCACCTGGGCAGACCAGGGACTGAATCCAGGGTCCAGGACCCCGGCTCACGCGCCTTCCCAGCAGGAAATAATTGGCAGAAAAGCGTAGGTGAGAATGAGTCCTTGTGACACTTTCACAACTATTTCAGCTCCCTCTGTGCAGGCAGAAAATGCATTTCCTGCTCTTGGATACTTTTACATCCACAGAAATTATTTTCTTTTTTGCTCTCAGTCTCTAAAAGCTGTGGTATTTTTGACAAAACCTGAGTGTACGATGTGGCCACGGCTGAGGCCACTTAAACTTGCATCAGTTGTGACATTTTGTGTCAGGAAGAGTTTGAAATATTTCACCTGGCACAGAGCTGTCGGGTCTAGAAATAGGTAGTTTATTCACTGCCTCATCTTGTTGTCTTTAGACAGGCATTGTGACTTTGGAGGAAAGAGACCATCCTAACTAACAAGCCCATTTTTCTTATGTTCTTTTTGAGATATTGACCTTTGAAGGGTCTTTATTTCCCTGATGTCTGTACCAAGGCTGCTTTTCAGAGGAGAGAACAACTCATTTGTGATTGAGTAGCCCCTCTAACCTGGAGGGGGGTGATCTGTAATCCAAACGAGCTCCTGCTGTTCCTGTCATTGCTCAGGGCATGTGTAGGGTCTGCTAAGGCTTCCTGCGAGTATGAACAGCTACTTGAGTTGTTTCTTCCTAGGGCTTCCAGGACATGCATTTTGTGCATCCACCAGCACCTCATGTCCAAACCCCAGTACAATCTCTCTCCCTTTGCATCAGGACAGCCAATGCCCAGGCTTTGCAAGGAGCAGTGGGGTGGTTTTGGGGTCCTGTCTTTGTGAGATGTAAAAAAAAAGGTATTTTTTTTTTTTACTTCACAGTTGACATTGGTGAGTTAAGAAAAAAGACACCCAAAAGGCTAAACCTACAGATCCATGATAAGCACTTTGCAAAGCTGATCCAGCTGCTAGAGCCTCGCATACAAATTTCAGTCTCTAAATAGTCTTTGATGAAATAGAGTTTTTACAAATAGAAGAAGAGGAAGCATGAGCATCTCCAGTAATGCACAGCTTGGCATGGGCAGTGTCACACCTCAGGTTATCCTCATTAGCCACAGACACATTCACAAAGCCAGCTTTGAAACTGGATTCCTGGTCGTTTAGCAGAGAAAGGGCAGGAGCCTCACAGCAGTGATACTGAAATGAAAACATCCCAAAGAGTCTAGCTCCATGAAATGTAATTCTTTCCTTTGGCAGGAGTTTGTGCAGCTGTGTGTTGCTTTTCTCTTCACATGGATTGACTCAGCTCAAGTTTCCCTTTGAGCTTCTGCTTCAAACAGAAAAAGCCCAATTCTGGAAAGGGATATTCACTAGAAGCCAGCGATGCTCTCACCTGCATATCTAATGACAAATTATATAAAACTATCAGCAGGTCTGAGTTACCCATTAAACAAGCTCAGCTTCTCTTTGCTTATTTCAGTAATTTATAGTCTGGCCATTTATATGCTTCCAGTTGGATAGTTATGGTCCATCTCACTTCCAACAGTACAAAACTGGGAGGCAGAAAAGCAAGAAAACAAGCGAGTGAGAAGGATGAACTGAACACACTGATCTGGAGAACATGGGAAAAGTTTTCCCAAAAAAACCATGTTCTCAGCTGGTTTCATGGGACATGAATAGACAACAGCTGTGAATTGACTGAGTAGTTGGGAGGTGACTCTGACGGTGTGGTATTCCCAAACTGTTTGACTTTTAAAATTGCTTTCAGAAGGGCAAGGTCAGGAGCAGGAAAAAAGCGGGAATCCATCCTCTAAATCAGGCATGTGAATGCAGTGGTCCCTGTTTCTGCTCAGCTGCAGAGACCTCAGGAAATGTCCTCTCCCAGCAGCAGGAAACTGGCATGTAAGTGGCACTTAGCGGAAAGAAGAACCTTTAAAACTAAAGTAATTGAAAAATTGAATAATTGTAAAGGTCAAAAACCGGATACTCAATTAGCATTGTGTTTGTCAACAAAACCAGTTATCCAAAGGTCCTTTGAATCACAGGTCAGGAGTCCAGAAAAAAACGTATTTCAAGCAATATTAAGGATATGTCAGTGAAAAGACTGCCATGTATTTATTTCCTTTCTCTGTAGATACTCCAAGCTGTCAGATCCTGCAAACTGGCTGAACATTAATGCCACAAATGGTCAGATCACTACTGCTGCTGTCCTTGATCGAGAGTCAGACTACATTAAGAATAATGTCTACGAGGCCACATTCTTGGCGGCTGACAACGGTGAGCCCAGGCTTCACATTGTTCATGCTTCAATAAGACTCTAATGTGATGCATTAAGAGAAATGATGCCCTGACAGAGTTGTCAGTATAAGTTATCTTTTTCCCAGGTTTTTATGGTCAAAAATGTGAAAGTGGGACGGGAAATTGCTGGAGTAAATTAAATGTGCACAGTATATGGAGAGTGTTATTAAGGGAAAGGGAGGACAAATGGAAAATTGATTTGAGGAGTTCAGTGTAGTGGTGTAGCCTGGACATAAAAAAGTGTCAAAGGGATGTGCTCTCCAGGGTCTGCCGAGCACACCGATCCTGGTAATCCTCCCAAAGGCACTGATCAGAGCATTCAGCAAGCCTTCCATCAGGAAGCCAGAAATAATTTTATGGGATGGCAGGAAGGTGTTAAAAATAAGCCCATCTGTTGAATTGTGGTGGCTTTCATAAAAGGTGTGTCTGTCACTGGAGCTGGGTTCTTTCTGGCCACTGCCTTCCTGAAATGTGCAGCCATCATCAGATCATCTGGGCGCTGCTGTGCTTATTACCAAAGCCACTCAGGCCAGCCAGATCTCCTGGAGAAGTTCTGTTTGCTCTTCTCTTTGGAGATCACTCGGTGGTTTTGGGGCAGTCGGCACTGAGAGTTTCTGTGCTGGCCTTGCTCAAGTGGCCCAGTGCTGCTGGCCTGCTTTCCTCTTCCTAATCCTGGTTAGGAGGAACTGATGAGTTTTGATAACCACACCAAATGTGGCCATGCTGGTATTTCATTCCTCAGTTCCTCCATCTGGAAAAGGTTCAGGACTTTCCCAGGACAAGGAGAAGGCCTTCCTCCCCCTCACCCACCCTCATTTCCTGCTGCAGGGTGCTGAGCACTCAAACCAGAGCCCAGCTTCAGCAGCACAGCTCAGCCTAGGCTTGGCTGTGAGCACCTAAATATATTGCTCATACTCTGCAGGAGCTTTCAGGGCAGTGCTTGTGTGATCCCTCAGGCTGGAGCTGCCGTGGTCATTATGAGCAGATTCAGTGGTGGTTGCAGGGCTAAGGAGAAGTTCCTCCCTCTGGGGTTCCATGCATCACTTCAATCATTGCATCCCAGGTCACAGGGGTGAGGGAATCTCATGGAAGAGTTTCAGAGCTGAGGAGATGTACCAAGAAGTGCATTTTGCCCCTTCTTTGTACCATGAGCGGTAGGACTCACCCCACAGCCCCACCCTGAGCTTCCTCTCCATGAAGGCAACCAGGACAGGAAAATTTAAAATATTCTCAAATGGGTCTAGTGGTGTTCATCTGGAAAACCACAGGGCAAAACAGGTCAAATGAGTAGGCCAAGGCTGTTCACAGATGCAGTGGTAGAGTTTGAACCTATCAAACTAATCCTCACCATCTGACCTTGCAAATTCAGGCACTTGGAGCAACGTGATGTGGAGTTAACCCCTTTCCCTGGCTGTGGTGCTGATGCAGCAGTGCATCAGCACCTCCACATCCATCATTCAGCAGCTCAGAAAGTGAGGCCCTAGATAAATCTCTTTATTCTGAAAAATTAATCTATCACTGGTATATTGCAGCCATTAAAATGCACATAAAGCAACACCTTATTTAAAATTCTGTCTAGAGTGCTTAGGATAACAGCTAAAGTTTCATCTAGGCTAATAGACTCTTACCACATTGCTCCCAAGTTCCAGGTTCTCCAGCATCAAAGAAAAGCTCTGGGTCAAGGGTTTTGCTGGGGATTTTTCTCTCTTTCTTGAAGAAGCAGCAGCATCTTCTTTCCTTGAAGTTCTTTTTGCTGGTCTCAGTACGTGATAAAAAAGAAGTTTAGCCAGTACTCCTTGGACGTGCTCTCTTTCTCTCCTGGGCTCCAGTGTGGAGATCCTGTCTTTAAGAAAAGTCTTAGCTGCAATGTAAGGAGGGCTAAAAAGGAAGTCCTAATCAAGAGCACGGTTTTGACCTGGTTTCTGAGGAGAGAGTCCCTTGGATCACACTTGTGTCTGCACAAGAGTGGAGCCTGCCAGTGTTTGAACCCCTCAGCCAATTTCAGCCAATCTCCCAGGGAAGCTGAGAGCTTAAGTGTGTCATATTCCAGCAGGTTTCATGAAACAAAGAGCTGAGCTTGAAAACCTGGGCTTCTACCTTGCTGTGGGTATGTAGACACTGGCCCTGTGAAAAAAGCAGTGATGGAGAATTCAGCCATTAAATGTAGATGCAGAAGCTGTATTGTCTTCTTCTTTTTGTTATTAATATTTCAGTCTTAATTTCAGGGATCAGACCAGCTTCTCCACTGGAATCAGTGGTGGTATTTTAGTCCTCATCTCTGAGGATGTAGTCCAAGGATCCTTCATTGCACATCAGTAGCTGCTCCATGTCCTTGCTCTCTCCATATGAGACAGCTGAAATAATGTGAAATTTATAGGACTTGGCCATTTAAATAATTGTTTACTTTTCATTGCTCCTAAAACTGCCCCGGAACTGCACTCAGGGACACAAAGAAACAAGAATACCAGGACTTGGATTCCAACAATACTCAATGGCCCAACAAAAGTGCATTTTTAGGTGCAGCAATTGCAGGTTATTTCAGCCACGTGCCAGTTAGTGCCTCTCAGGACTGAGGGTTTGTGTTCAGTCTGTTTCAGGTTACAGTACTTTTATCCCAGAAGATACTCTGGGTAATGTGAAAGCAGTAAAATCACTTTGCTTGGTCCCAAAAGTCAGTTTTCATGTCCAGCCCTGGTATCCTGGTGGGCTGTCTGCCTCTGCAGAAGCTTTCAAGGTTGATCAAAAGACATTGTTTTAGAGGGAGACCTACCCCATGCTTACAAGATGAAAGGATGAGAGTCCATGATTGAAGAGCTTATGTGGGAACCATGAAAAAAGGATTTCCAGGGCTCCTGCAGAATTCTTGAGGCTCCCTTGAGACATGGAGAAAGGAATGTAGGAAGGACGGTCTGTGGAAGCAGAAGCCTGATGGGGAAGTGGTTTATGTGGCTTTGTACCTAGCACTGGGAGGAAGGGCCAGGACTGAAAATACAGACTTTAAAAAGAATTGCTGAAGCCATGCTGCCAGATAAGAGAGGCAGGCAGAGGGCAAGCCAACACAGAGCTAAATGTATGGGGAGAGAAATGAAAAACATTGTGCCATTTCTGGGAAGGCTGTTCTCTCCTGCCAGGGATACTACTTTGTGTGAGTAGTCATTAGCCTGACAAAGGTGGCTCTCCATCAAGAAGGGGTGGAGGACCAGGACTGTTGTGCTGTGACATCCCTGCTGGTTGGGAGAGACATGGAGAGGATGGAAAATTGTGTATTGGGAGATAACACTGCTGCTGGGGGTTAGTGGCATCACCCAGCAGGTCTGGTGATGGCTCATACTGTGGACTTCAAGCAGGGATCTCTCACCACTAAAGCTGGGGCTGGATGTGGGATGTGCTCAGGAGTTGGGCTTTCTTTGAAGCAGAGTAATGATCTGCAAAGCTGAAAACTGGCCAGCAAGTGCTAGAATAAATGCTGACCAATGGGTTACACTATGTAGATTTTTCTCCCCTCCAAGCCCTCTTCTTCCTCTTGTCAGCTCTCTTTCTAATGTATTTTCTTCTTCAAAACAGCCATTACCAAGATTTGCAGGAGCAGCTTGGCATCACCTGCTTGCAGTTTTAGTTTGACTAGAGGCACTGCTGCAGGCTACAGATCTGCAGAGCTCAACCTCCTGTTCTGCAGGAGTGAAAAACAGCAACATTAGGAGGCTTGGGGAAGTTTTATACCGCGTAAAGCAAGGGACCATGAAAGCACAGTATGTCCCTAATAAACTCCAGGGAGGGAAGGTGAAATCCTGGTTTATTGGAACTGTGAGGCAGAGAGGGGCTGGTCTGTGGTGTTGCCAATCCTGCTGCTTCCCAGGTGGTGCTCACAGGTCCCTGTGTCCCGTGCAGGAATTCCCCCTGCCAGCGGCACGGGCACTCTGCAGATCTACCTGATCGACATCAACGACAACGCCCCGGAGCTGCTGCCCAAGGAGGCGCAGATCTGTGAGAAGCCAAACCTCAATGTCATCAACATCACGGCCGCGGACGCTGACATCGATCCAAACGTGGGGCCCTTCGTCTTCGAGCTGCCAAGTGTGCCATCTGCAGTGAGGAAGAACTGGACCATCACACGGCTCAATGGTAAATGGGGCAGGCAATCCCAAGCACATTTGGGCTCTGCTTCACTAACGAGACGCACGTGTGGCTTCCAACTTCAAAACTTCCTCACTTTTTTTAATCCGATTTTTATTTTTTAAAGCACATTACGGCTGACATTATAGACAAGACAGTTAATCAGAAGTGATTTGTATCAGACCTGCAGCATAACTCTGAGAGCCTTGGCACTTGGCTTTTTTTAATGCAGTTCATAATTATGAACAGTTATCAGTAGTGAACAGAGTATAAATCATCCATAATGGCCAAGGGGAAAAAAGCTATTATCAGTCTTCCTTATGTTCCTCCAGTGTAATTGTCATAAGCCACAATCAGGATCAATGTTCATTTCTCTGACCATAATTGCATAAAGGCAGCCTTTTAATTTACCACGGAACCAGGAGGGCTAGGTAAGTGTGAAGATTACCAGTATGTGAAGGATTTTTATATTGCAGCGTGCAACCACAAATGGCCCTAATTGCTCTGCTTATTGGCAGTTTCAGCAGAGGATGGAAAATAGCGTGGAGTTGTGGGCTGGTTTTGGCTTCAATGCTGGTCCCTCTCGCTGAGGTCTGGCAGAAGGTGCTAGACCAGGGGCAACAGCTCGTGTCCTCACAGCTCAGGGCTCAGTCACAACGGGATTACCTGGCTGTGCCTGTCATCAGTGAGTTCCCAAAATCTTCAGGGTGAGTGAGTACAGAACCTGCACACGTGGCCAGGGACAGCCCAGCCTCAGGAAGCATTGTCCATGTGCTCCCGTTTGTGTTTGATGCCATTTTGAACACATGCACGTGGATTTGCAAATGGCACGCAGGTAGTTGAGTGCAGCAGTGAGAGCACACAGTACTTCACAAAGCACAGGATGCTTGTTGGGCAGATGTTGTGGCAGAGGTCTGAAGCTGTCCTGCCCTGGTGTGTTGTTGCTAACCTCTTCTGCAGGGCTCAGAAGAGGGCTCTAGCAAAGAAGCCTGCACAGATGTGGCTGCAAGGCTCTACCAATGTCTGTCATCTGTCTGTCTGTCTGTCTTGGTCTGCAGGGGACTATGCCCAGCTCAGTTTGCGGATCATGTACCTGGAAGCAGGAGTGTACGATGTGCCCATCATCGTGACAGACTCAGGAAACCCCCCCTTGTACAACACCTCTGTCATCAAGGTGAAGGTGTGCCCGTGTGACGAGAACGGCGACTGCACCACCATCGGGGCCGTGGCTGCTGCGGGGCTGGGCACGGGGGCCATCATTGCCATCCTGATCTGCATCATCATCCTCCTGAGTGAGTACCACAGGGCCTGGCCTAAAACCACAGACTGCCTTGGGTTGGAAGAGACCTTAAATTTCATCTTGTTCCAGCCCTCCTGCCACAGGCAGGGACGCCTTCCACTATCCCAGGTTGCTCCAAGCCCCATCCAACCTGGCCATGGACACTTCCAGGGATGGGACAGCAACAACTTCTCTGGGCACCCTGTGCCACACCCTCCAGTAATGAATTTCTTCCCCAAATCTGCTCTAAATCTACCCTCCTTCATGCTCCCCTGTTGTTCTTTCCTATAGCTTGTATTTTTCAAGCTCTATGCAGAGGGCAGGTCCCTGAGCTTGGGCTGTGGAGGAGGTTCACACATCTGCATTCAAACCTCCTTCACTGCAGCATCAGCAAAATGAGCTCTGCCCGTGTCAGACCTGTCTTTCTAAGACTTACAGTAGCTTTGCAAACATTATTACACCTGACAACAACTTGTACGTAGTGAGTGTGATAGGATCGTCCACATTTTGCAGGAAGAGGTTGAAGGCTTCTTCCAAATTTATCAGTCAGATTCTCCCACAGCTCTCATGTCTGGTGGCTGTGGATATGCTGGTTCTCAGTACCAGATACACTGGATATGAGAGTCTGGCTAGTCCCTTGCAGAGCCAGTGCAGAACTGTGTTTTTCTGGTCGTTCCAAGGAAAAGAAGAATGGTAGTTATTCCCATTGCTTTTAAAATGACCTCAGATTGGGGGGATTATGAGTTTTTTAGAGGAAGGAGTCCCAGTTTGTCAGAAATGATGGAGGACTGGGGATACATCACAGAGAAGAACTGGCCATCCCTTTCCTCAAGGCAAAACTATCCCTTTTGCCCAGGAGTGCTGTCAGTCCCAAGCTTCCAAGAGCATTGCCAATAACCATGTGTGCACCCACTTAAAAAGTTAAAATTATATCATTATAACTTCAAGCAGGAGTTGGCACAGTAGGAATGGATAAAAACAAGCGCTGAAATGAACAATGAGGTAAATATTAATCAAGAAACACAGGATGAATCCATGGGACTCTCATTAAAGCTAATGGGAGTTATGGTGCTAAATCACATTTAATATTTACCCCCAGTGCATTTTAACAGAGAGCAGACTGAGCAGTATGCTCCAAGTGTCACCTAATGGGGACATGACATGGTACAGCAGGAGAATGGGTCACCCCTGGACATCCCCCCACATCCTGGGCTGGTCTGGGAATGTATTGGTGTGTAATTGATCTGCTGGATCAGGATGGAGAGTGAGGAAGGAACTGGGTGTTTGTGCAGCCCCTGCTTCCGTCCCAGCCCAGCTGAGCTGATGGAGCATCCCTGTGCCCAGTTGCTGCCCCACATTCCCAGTTTTGGCTGCTCCCTCCAGCCACAGTGGTTATTCAGGGCCCCGATGAAGATGAAGGTGTTCATCAGCCTCAGCTCCTTTTGCTGTGCAGGTTTGCTGCTGCCTCTGGGCTCAAAGTTTGCACTGGAGCCACAGAAGTGATTAAGCACAGGTCTTCTTTTTGCTGCTCTTGTATAAATCCAGTGCTAAAATACAATTTAAAACGGTTGAAAATCCTATTGACTGAAATTAACTTCAGCTGAAGGACATTTGATTTAAGAGATTCCTCTTTCCATTTTCAGATACATTATCCCATTTTAAATTACGGGTTTTATTACAAAAGCTTATTTTTACATTCATTGTAATTCTAATTGACTTTTTTTTTTTATCTTGGAGAGCTGCAAAGCACTGTATCAGTGATGAAAAATGTAATTTGCAATGAGCAGTTTTACAGTTACATCCTTCCAGTGTTTTGCCTCCTTTCTATCTGTTTCATATCATGACTTCTAAACAATAGCCTAGAAAAAGGCAGAAGAGCGATTTTCTTGTGCTGTCTGTCCATTTTAGAGTCAGCAGGTCAAAGTTGGATGACTTTAAAAGGAAGAAGAAACAAGGGGCAGATCCAAGATTGCTCCTGTGAAGGAAGTTTATACCTTTACCTTTGCTCAAAGGGGTTTTTTTCTTCTTCTTGCTACCTGATGTATTAGGTGCACAAATAACACATTTAGAAGAGCAATGCAGTAAAAAATTGTGAAAGGTGAAGACAATAGATTTCAGGGAAAACTACATGCAGAGCGAAAATGGTTCTAACAGCAGTAATAGCACTTCCCATTCTGCAGAGTGAATAAAAGGAAGGAGAGTGCACTACATCCACCATTGACACTTTGAAGGTGGCTTTTTTTCCAAGGTAGCTGTAAAGGCATTAATGGCACCGTTTTTTCCACAAGTGCATGAAAAAGCATCATTTGAAAAAAAAAAAAAAAAGGGAAATAAAAAGATAAACCCCAGTAACCATTATAATATTGTCTTTGTGGACCAGTCAGGTATCTTGTTGTGAGAGACTTGAAAAGGAGCAATGAAAAAAAGACTTCAATAGTCTGCTAAATAGCTGAGGTTTTATATTACAGATGAGAGTTACATTTTCTTTCCTTTTCTTTTTTTCTTTATTGAATAGATCTGGGATAAGCATTAAAGAAATGCTGAACTATCTGAAAACAATTCTGTTAGCTGGCAGGCAGGGATATGCCAGTGGCACACAATGGCAGTAATTAGCTGTCCCGTCCTCTTCAATCCCTTCACTGAATTCCTGTTGGGTATAAACACTTTGTTGCTGGGAGGAAAAATGTGGATCCTCCTAACCACCTCCTCCTGCAAGCTGGACAGCCCATCTATTTCCCCAGGGTCTGGTCTCAGCTAAAACCCCAAACTCTGGGATCTCACATCCTGCCTGAGTTTGCTCGTGTTAGTTTGGCACAGTTGAGGATTGACCCAGGTGAAATGAGCCTGGGACACTTGTTCCCACCTCCACTGTCCATCCATTGCTCCCTTCTGCAAATTGCCACCGTTGCAGCTCAGTGTGGGGCTTGCATGGAGAACAGAGGGGAGAGCAGTGGGAGGTGAGACTGCAGCAGCTGCCCAGACTGAACTTTCATTCTTCAGGGCATTATTTGCAGCTACTGAGTCTGAGAATGAAAACGAACGTATTAACACATTCTTGAAGAAGACAAGATCTGGCTGCCTTATGTCAGTGGCGACTTGAGTTCCCAGATAATCTTGCATGCAGTAATTCACAGGGAGCACACAGCCCCTGGGACACGGGTGTCCCTTGGAAGGGCGAGGTTGTGGAGCAGTGAGCCAGTGTTCCCTGTGGGTAAAGTTGTTTAAGAAGAGAAAAATTCCTCATGGTTCAAGAACTGCTCATATCTCCCTGTTACTGTGCTGAGAGAGACTAGCCAAGCCTGGCATGCAAATGCTGATGCCTGAGGAGCTTGGCTCTGTGCTACCAGATTCGCTCTCCCTCGTTCTGCAAAGCTAGCCCTGCTCTCTGAAAGGATTTCAGATGATCTGAGATTTGCTTTCCAAGTCGATGGCCAAATGCATGTGCTAATGTCCTGGCTAATCTGATCTCAGAAGTCTAAAGAGCCTCCCTCATGGACCAAAGAAGAATTTGGGGGAGGCCAAATTGGATTACAGGATTCAGCGTTGTGCATCCAGATCAGTCTTGCCTGGCCAACTGCAGAAAACAGCAGAGACTGTCACAGTCAGGGCTCATGATCTGAATGGGCTGAACCTGTGCCACACTGCTGGAACAGCCCCTTGTGCACAAAGGTTGGGGATCTGCACCTGCTTCCTTCTCTGCAGCTCTCTTCCCTTCATCTTTATGTCCCCAAATAAAAAGGTGGAAATCTAATCCTGAAAACTCCAGATTCAGATCAAATATTTTCAGAGAGCTGCAGTTTTCACACTTCCTGGTTTCTTCTACTTTGACTGTGTGTTTTAGTCCTCATTAATATCAGCTCAATCAGTTCTGTGATGGATCTTAAAGAAATGTTTGTAGTGGGAATGTGACACAGTATTTACAGCTCTCACTGATATCTCCTTTAAAAATTAGACCATGCACTAGGTTAACATTTTATTCCAGCAGCCAGTGAGGTTCTCTGCAGTGGGTGAGGGTAGGTGATGTGTTAGGACACCTCAGCCTGGCCTGCTGCAGGAGGTCCCCAGCAGCTCACCCAGCTTCCTCCCCGTTGTAGCCATGGTTCTGCTCTTCGTGGTGTGGATGAAGCGGCGGGAGAAGGAGCGCCACACCAAGCAGCTCCTCATCGACCCCGAGGACGACGTCCGGGACAACATCCTCAAGTACGACGAAGAGGGAGGTGGAGAGGAGGATCAGGTGAGGAGAGCCCCTGACCTGTGGCCAAGGAGCAGCTGTGCAATCTGTACTCCCAACAAAAGGCAGAAATCACATTATTTTTCATAAAATACATGTAAAGGGTTGTGTTCCTTTATTTAGGACCAGGCAGCTTTATTGGCTTTCTTGGTGGGGTGGAGGGACAGCAGGTCCAGGACATTCAGGATAGTACTGGGACACGCTCCTGTGTAAACAGGACAATGCCAGGAAGCCAGTGCCACAGGGATTTTTCTACCCCCTAGGCATCTTCCTGGGGAAGGACTATAAATCACTCCATTGACACTCATGTTCAAACCATATTTTTGTTACTTAAGTCATTAAAATTGTATATTTTACCAGAGATCTTCATAAAACCAACCAGTAGCTACTGCCCTGCCCAGCCCTGTGCCTGCAGTCTCTTGCCTTGGCTTGCTTGATCTTCTCTGGGCTTTCCTTAATCATCTCTAATGTGCCTTTAATTTCTTTTAATTTCTGGACATGGTTTGTGAGAAATGTCTAAAGAGATTTGGGGATTTTCTTTTTCACCACGCAGCACACGGGAGCAGAGCTGTACTGGGTGACAGAGCCCTGAGCCACAGGCTGCCTGAACACGTCAGCTTTCCTGCAGTGCCTCTTCCTACAGACACCAGTGCTGATATTGCATGAAAACTTCCCTGGCCTGCACTCCTGGGATGTGCTTTTCCACTGCTATGTGTCCAATTCCTCAGCTAAAAATAGCAAAGTTTTGTCACTCATGTTGAAGTCACCGGTTTTTTACTCCTACCAAACATGAGTAAAGAGCCCAGGACACTCTCAAATACAATGTTCATGCAGATTATGTGACTGTACATTGTTTAATGGCTTTATTTTTGCTCGTTGAACTGGACTGCATGGTTCCAGGTCAGTGCTTAGGGATCCCCCAAAACCAGCACATCCTGCCATGGAGGTCCCAGTGGTGAGCGGGTGAGCCTGGTGAGAGCTGCCATGGAAAACTCTGAGGCAGGAGTTTACCCAGACCTTGAAAAGTTCTTACTCCACAGAAAAATCCTCACAATTAACATTGCTTTTTTTTCCTGTCGCTGTCAAGTTATTTATAAATATTGCTCCTGGAGATTCCATCATCCCATTTGAGCACAAGGGTTGTGTTCCTGGTAGAACAAAGCACTGTTCTAAGCATTCCAAGTAGCTGAAGTATCTGGTTTCAGGCAACTCCACAGTAGGCTTAAATATTTTAGGAAGGATTCGTTAAAAATAACAGCAAAGGATAAGCAGCAAAACACCATTACCTACATGAATGTATTTTTAATGAAATATTACCTGGTTCTCATTTCATGATAGAAACCTATTCTGTTGGGATTTTTCGCAAGCAAAAAGAACATAATTACTTTGAAAGGTCTCCATGCATAAATGCAATACACATTTTAATGTTTTTACTTCTGTAGAAATGTAATTGCAATAATATGTCTACTAACTCTGCGTCTCTACATTATATTGTGTATTTTCTCAAAAAGTTATGTGTACACCTATGCACGTGCAAACAAAAGGCAGGGTTTTGTCCCAGATATTTAGACACTATGTGAAATATTCAGAAAGTATTTAAATATTTAATTTAACTTATAAGATACACTCTTAGGAGGTCAATTTTATGAGCTACTCAGAGGTCAGGTTCATCTGTAATTCAGATGGAGGTGCTACATACCCAGGGATAAGATTTGCCATCAAACTTCAGCTGAAACAGAATTAGAGCCCTTGACTTGTTTGCACATGGAGTGAGCAGGTAATGTGAATGAAAAGCTCACGGTTTCACACTGTGCCTTCCCATTTGTCACAGGATTACGATTTAAGCCAGCTCCAGCAGCCAGAGACCATGGATCACGTGCTGAACAAGACACCAGGAGTCAGAAGGGTGGATGAAAGACCTATTGGTGCTGAACCACAGTATCCTATAAGACCAGTAATCCCACATCCAGGGGATATTGGTGATTTTATTAATGAGGTATGTTCTGTAGGGGGTCCTGTGTCACATCTTCAAAGCTTGAGCAGCCAGCTAAAGTCAGGTTTCCCTGACTGCACGGACCAAGCAGTGCTACTGCTCAGGGCAGAAATCTGATGCCAACCAGGGGAAGGAGTGGTATGAGCAAAGGATGCAGGGTTTGGCCTAATGAAGGCATTGATCAGCAAAAAGCCCAAGATTATTGTCTTGTGGGTGTCACAAACACCATGCTTTTCAGAACCCAGGCAGAATGAGCCATTTGTGGCTCCTGGACTTGTAATTATTTCAGCAGTCTGTGTCTTCCTGTGTAAACTCTGTTTGGTGTAAAGCCTCAAAGAGTTTGCAGCACAGAGAGACTCAGATCAGAGAGGGTTTCTTTATTTTATGTTAGATTACTGCTCCTCTATCTGCCTGTACAAATATCTATCCATTTGGTATTTCTTATCTCATTTTTAGTTTTGAGTGATTGAGTGGTTACAAACCAATCAATGCATTATTTCCTCCGAGACAAAGCACACCATCCATTTCCTAAGCCAGAAAAATAAATGTTACAGCCATTTAATTCTATTATTACATGCATTTCCTGCTGTGCCTTTCTCATTTTAATCACTGAAATCCCTTCTTCCTTTGTCCCTTTGCCCATCCTTCACTCACATTTACACACATTTGTGCTTGTGAAGACTCGCTGTCCTTACACACGCCCCTGCTGCTGAAACCAGTTCCATCTCCCCACGCTGAGGCCTGGGCTTCTGAAGATGGGAATGTGGAACATTTGCTTTATTGCAGGGCTATTCCACCCGGCTTTTCCTGACGCTGGGCTCTGCAGCAAAGCAATTCTTTTTCTCCATATCCCGAGGCCATTTCCATGGCCTGCCTACGCTGCTGCCCACACTGCACAGGAGCAGCAATGCTCTCCAGCCCTCTGCCCAGGATCCACACCCCACGTCTGTCCTAATTGCAGAATTTTGCCAGGAGTGATTTTTTTTTTTTTAATTTTGTTTTCCTAAAGGAATGAAAATCATCAGAATTAAAATATTGGTGGGAGAGGAAGGGTGCTGTTTTTTCTTTCATTGGCTAAGATGGAAATCTCAACAGGCAACCCCAGCAAGGGCACGCTGGCCAGGACAGAAAGATTTCCAGATCCAGAAATGGATCATAGGAAATAAACAATTGGAAATAACAACTATTTTTAGGGACACTGGGAGTTATTGGGTTTTTTGCTGGGGGCAACTGAAAGGTCTCTACCTGGAGGTGCATCCAGGAAGCTTCAGGATGATAATTTTTCCCTTTTAGCGTTGCTGTGGGGATCCCAAACATCCCCCCAGCCCAGACCCCCCTCAAACCCCATGGTGGGCACTAAGACTGTGTGTTCCCCCCCCAGGGCCTGCGTGCAGCAGACAACGACCCCACAGCCCCCCCCTACGACTCCCTGCTCGTCTTTGACTACGAGGGCAGCGGCTCCACCGCCGGCTCCGTCAGCTCCCTCAACTCCTCCAGCTCCGGGGACCAGGACTACGACTACCTGAACGACTGGGGGCCCAGGTTCAAGAAACTGGCGGACATGTACGGGGGAGGAGAGGAAGATTAAACTGACCTCATCTTATTACAAAAAAAATGACAAAAAAGTTAAAAAAAAACAAAAAAAGGAGAAGAAGGATAAAAAAATATAGGAAACAAAAAAAAAAAAAAACCACAAAAAACCAACAAACCCACAGACAACGTTAATGAAAAGAGCCGATGCAGGAGCAAGAACTGTACAGATGTGGCAGCTTTTTTAATTAATATCCCCTGCTGACTGTATTGTTATTTTTAGTGGTGATATAGGAGGTTTCTTTTTTTTTTCTTTCTTTTTTTCTGTTGTATTTTTTTTCCTAGAATATCGAGCTGTCTCGCATGAACACTTGTCTCTGCTGCAGGTTTCTTTTTGGGTATTTTTTTTTGTTTTTTATAATGTCAGCTGGGATATTGCTCGTTTACCTGCTTTATGACTAAAGAGAGTGAAAGGCACTCTGTCTTAACTTGAATTTCTTAGAACAGAAGCACTGTTTTTAAAATATATATATATATATATATATTTGAAAGTGCCTTTTGGTGCATGTGTCAGATTCCCTTCAATCTCAGGAGTGATGAAAACAAACATACAACCATCCTGGGCAGCACTCCCTGTGACCCTAAGCCAGTTCTAGCTGGGAAGGAGTTAACAAAAAGGAACTGTGGAGATTGTTTCTTTTTTGCCTTTTTTTGTTTCGTTTTGTTTTGTTGTTTTTTTTTTAAGGGGGTGACTCATTCTGGGGTGGAAGAAGATGGGGGGTGGGGAGGGGGGGAGATGTTTTGAGTCAAAATCTTAACAGCCATCTTTAAGCCTCAGCAGGTGGTGAACTAGTCATCATGTTGTATATAATTCAGTGTTATCAGATGCAAAATACCGACCAACGGGCTCTGCTGGCCCCTGGTCACACTCAATGTAGCTGCATAGAACTATAGCATTGATAAAGCCTTTGGTTATTGCAACAGAAATCTCCAACAGCCCTTGCCTAAACCCTACAAAGTAAATGGTGACATGACCAAAGGCCCATCTCTTTGTTTTTCTGCTACCGCCGCGTTTTGGCTCCCACGACCTCGTGAGCGACGGACACGCCGGCGGGGTGAGGAGGTGGTGCTGGTGTCCCCCATCCCTGAGGATGCCCAGCCCCAGTGAGGAGGTGATGCTGGTGTCCCCCATCCATGAGGATGCCCAGCCCCAGTGAGGAGGTGGTTCTGGTGCTGGTGTCCACCATCCATGAGGATGTCCAGCACCAGTGAGGAGGTGGTGCTGGTGCTGGTGTCCCCCATCCCTGAAGATGCCCAGCACTGGTGAGGAGGTGCTCCTGGTGTCCCCCATCCCTGAGGATGCCCAGCACTGGTGCTGCTCTCCCGGGCTGAGGCAGGGTTTGTGCGGCGCCGCTCGCGGCCGAGGCAGTGCCAAGGACAGGGACAGGTTACCCACAGTTTTCCCATCCCTAAGTATGGAGTTAGTCTAGTACCACATTAATGCCTTGGAGCATTAGTAGCCAAAGCTCAACAACATCGTGTAACTCAGCTAATGTGTGTCCTTTCTATTCGATGGGTAGGCGCTGCTATCTGTTGTAAATGTGTTTTTTTGGAGAAGAAGTGCAACGAGGGCCTGTTCAGTATCTTGTGGTTAATATGCTCAAGCATTGCCAAGTAAGCAAGAGGTTTTGCAGCATCCAGGCATAATTCAACATCAGTATTATAAATGGTAGCAAACTACCTAGTTTATATGTAGGGTCAGTTTAACCAATAACAAATAGTTATTAGCTTTTTTTATTACATTTTTCCTTTACTGATTTGGACTAGTGGGTTTATGTCTAATGTTTGTAAAATGATTTAGACTGCATGGATGTGTAATATAAACCACATTTAATGGATTATGAGCCACTTAATTAATGTGCTATGAAATCTTGGATTACCTGTGTTTTATATTCTGCAGACGATTTTGCAGTGGGTTCGCTAAAACTTGTAAAAGTGCTTAGATATATTTTCCTTTAAATCCAAGAATGTGCACAGTATTGGAAGGTGATTGTCCAGGGGATAATCACGCTCTTTTTGATATCTCTATTGATTCTCAAGTTGAATGCTAAAAGTTAAAGGGGGGGATGCGGGGGGAGCGAGCGCGTGCACACGAGAGCGAGAATGAGAGGACGAGAGCTTGGGGTGATGAGTGGGCACCTTTCAGAGGGTAAACTGGGCTGCAAGATCGTCTCTATAGATTTTTGAAATGCTCCTACTGCATTTTATATTTCATTGTATCATATTTTCTATAAAATGCAATTTCTGTAAATTAATGAGCATTTGAAATGTGTCTTGTATGAAGTGGAATATGGTAAAAGTCTGCCCGAGGGGACTTCAGCATTACCAGGATGTTATTAACTACCAAGGGTGAGATCTTTCTTTTTGTCTCGGTCGGTCAGTCAATGGGTCAGTTTGTCTTTCATGGCTCAGAGAGCAAATTCACTCTCACCCAAGGTTCTTGAGGAGACCGGGAGGCAATAGTGTGGACCTCAGAGGAGAGGGATGGCACTAATGGCAGCAGCAAGGTGAGGATGTCACACCACAGGCATGGGCCGGCAGCACCTGACACTTTTCCAGATTCCCATTCCATCGTTGTGAACTCAGTCATCTTGTGTGGCCACCATGAAAGTCTTGGTTTGCTTCTGCCATGTGCCATCCCCCTCCTCTTGACCACTCTTGGCAGACCTCACAGCCCCCTGCTCCCAGCCACCTGGCACAGAGCCTGCATGGCCCTGCAGCCTCTCTTCCTTACCATGGCACTCTTGATTCTTCCCTGATTCTTTTGGAAAAGCCACGGGATGGAATATTTCACCACCAGGGCTTTGCACCTCTGCAGAAGCTGCCTGGGCACAGGCAGAGTGATTAATAAAAACACACTTGGTGTTTCTTGCTGCTGGTGTCCGTCGCCGTAGCCTCGTCACTGACACGGGAGGAGGATTCAGCTCGAGGGCCAGGTGAGGCCAATGGTTCTCCATCCACGGGTCGGTGCCACTGCCTGCCAGCTCCGTGTGGCTCCTGGAATGCTCCTGTGGATCCTGCCAAGCCAGGTCTCTGCTGTGAGCTGTGCCTTGCCATCCACCTGGCACTGCTCAATCCCTGCTCCAGAGCGCTTGGTGCTTCACCTCTGCTGCAGTTTTGGCTGGGATGAGGGATTCCAGGTGGGGAGGGGCTGCAAGGGATGTGGGACAGCAGCTCCAGGCCATCAGCAGTGCACTCTTCCCAGCTGTGCAACAAGGAGCCACTTAGCCATGCAGGGGATGTTGTCTGACTTCAGCTTGTCTAAACATTTCATGTTTTCAAGAACATTTATGCAACCTAAGTCAAACAAAACTCTTCGAGTGATTAAAAATAAACCAACCTGTTTCCATTGGCGACTTTTTTTAAAATCAGCGGCTATTTTTTCCTGCAGCATTTGCAATCCAGCCGTTCCAATCCCACGAGCCTATAAATCAAACCAACCAGATTATTGTGTTTTGACCCAGTTCTGTTCAGTCTCCCTCTGCAGGACCTCTTCTTTCTTTTCCTCTTCCCCTTTCTCCTCCCTGTATACTCCCTCTGTGAGGTGTACAGCCCCACAAGCAGCAGCAGCAGCATCAGGCCACTTCTCTTGCAGTGGGATCACTGGAAGGTAAGCGAGGGGCACATCCAGCAGTGAAAACAGAACACTCTTTACAAACATTTTTGCTTGCTAATGTTTGTAACCCAGCTAAAAAATTTTACATTAATCCAGGGCATCCCATTGACAAGGTGAATTTGCCATCACTCAGTCCCCCTCTGATCCTCATGGATGTGACACAGTGACAACCAGTTGCAGCTGGAGGCAGCTTACAAGGAGCTGTGGAGAGGCAAAGAACCCTTTGGCTGAGCCTGCAGTTGCTGTTTATTCTGAGAGGCAGCAGGAGGGGTTAATGCATTGAGATCAGAGTCCTAATTCCCTTACTAATATAAACTAAAACAATAAACTATTTAAAGAAGTGACCCCCACTCTTTGTACCCTACATGTCAGTGGGGAAGGGTGTGCTCTCAGGCAGGTGGAGGGTGTCCCGTCCCTAAAACACCACTGTCCCACCCTGCTACCCCGTGGCACTGCCAGGGGACACCACCACAGCTCTCCCTGCTGTCTAAGGGATGAGTTCCCAAGGCACTGGGGCTGGACACACGTGTGGCTTCCCTAAGGATGAGGATTGTACATCCCCGAGCCAGGGACCGTGCAGGTGCAGTGTCACTGCTGTACCCACAGCCACCCCTGGCAGAGCAGGACCCACAGCCCTGCTGGTGTTTATCGTGCACCCTAAAGCTGGGAGCAGCCTCAGTCTCAGAAATGCCTTGCAAGGCAAGGAGGAGATTCAGCAGGTAATTAATGACAGTAAATAGGCAAGTCTGTTCCAGGTGTCCCACATTCTAGTCATGGTTTTGCCTCTGGTTTTGTGTTTTCCATTTTTGCCCCTTTTTTGTTGGACCAGGTGAGGCTGCTGGCAGTAGTAGGATGCTGATGAGGAGTTTGCTCCCCATGGGTTTTAAGGGATAGTCAGGTCCAAATCCAGCCTTCAGAAGTGGGGTTTCAGAGGTGGCTGTAACTGCTTCACATAGGGTGGACGCTCGGGCATTGAAGAGAGGCAATGGTCAGTGCAGCGTCTGTACCACACAATATGCCAAGATTGCAACTTTGTTTAATCTAAAAAGAAAATATATATTAAAGGTAAAACACAGAACTTTTATTTGTGATGTCTTTTGGAGCTCTTTATTTTAAGTGTGAAAAAAAATATACTGGGGGATGGGGGAAATGCTGTGTCACGATGAATGCAAGTGTTTAAAACAGCAGCCAGACAACGTAGGTGTCTCCCACGCAAATTAACTCAGTTTCATGGGGAAAATAAAAGTTCTTTCCAGTCCACACCAACCCCACATACAACTGCTCACACACAGTGTACATAATGTAGTTAGTGCTTGAAGCGACAAACCTAATAGGGGAAAAAACAGCAACAACACCAACACGTAGATGTATAATTGGAGCACTTTTTTTTTTTTTTTAATTTTAATGATGATTTTGCATGTTTCCTTTCTGATGGAGAAGCTGTGTAGCAGCCCGCATGACTGTGGTTGTTCTCAAGGAAGACTCTGCTGTTCTGCTGTATTCACGCAAAAGCAAAAGTTTGCGTCCGTTAACCCAGTTCAAAAACCTTTTTTTGTAACCGCCAACAGCACAAATATTTTGTATTGTTGTTTGTACCATTTTTGTACCAAAAACAAAAGAGGGAAAAAAAAAAAAAAAAAAGGGAAGAGAGTAAATGTTTTCAATGTGTTTTTAGTGCCACTGCAATCTTGGTTTCCAAACTGAGTGACAGGTTTGCTGATTTATTGTGTATCAAAGCTGAACTGGCGCACTGACGCCTGGCTCCAGTGTAATAAAAATAAAGTCCCCCTTTTGAATAGTCTCACTTGCTTTTTTTTAAATTATTATTATTTTATTTGTTTGTTTGTTTCATTTTCCTTCCCCACATGTCCACCCCAGCTCAGTCCTGTCCGTGGCTCTTATACTCACAGTGAGCCAGTCTGGCTGCAGGTGTGGGTCCAGGTGCACAGACATCAGTGGGATTTTTGGAGATCTTGGGTGCTCCTGCAGAAATTTGCATTCATTAAAGGTAGGAGCATGGCTCCCCTCTGGCCCATGTTGTTTGGATTATGGGTGAGGAGGTGTAGGTTCCTCCCACATCCCAAAGCGACTATTGGTGCAAATCAGTTGTGTGGTGATTTCACTCTTGCAGCCCCAGATCTTTGTGCTTTAGCACAATTCCAGCACATTCAGGGATCTTTACTTTCTGCTAGCACATCGGTCACTCTGACTGCTGCATCAGGGCATCCAGCCCCTCCACCTGCCACTGCCAGGGGACAGAAATGGTCCAAAAAGGTCTTAAGGAATGACTGAGCACCCTGGGCCAGCTGCTGGAAACCTGAGCTTGCTTCTCCCAGCTGTATTTCTCCAGCTTCTCTACAAGTGCATGAGTAAATTCATGGCTGGAGATGCTGCTGTGAGCGAGTGTGCAAATCCTTCACACCAGCATTGCTGTGTACAGCAGCACGTCTCCTTCAGGGCCAACATTCCTCTTTTCTGCAGCTGCTCTGCCCTGGTGGTTCCCCCCTGGGAGGGGGAACAAACACCCTGGTGCCGGGCTGAGCAGCAAGTGCTGGGCACAACCAGCAATTAGTGCTGGCCACAATTAGCAATTAGGCTGGCAGGCATCACTCACCACGCCCTGGGGAGGTGTCCAGGTGGGCAGCTGGGGCTCCATCACTCTCACCCCAACGCCAGCCCACACATGCCATCAGCTACGAGGTCCCAGCAGGTCACACTCCAGCGCTCTCTGGAGCTGTTCTGGCCAAGCCTGTGGAAAGCAGCACTGTCTTATTTTTAATAAACATTAAGATGAATGCAAATCCTGTACATGGCAATTTACTTCCCCCCGGAGTCAGCTAAGAATATTTTATTGCTAGTTTTGCTAATTCTCAAGCTGTTCTGTTTCTTAGAATTATCTTTAACTACTGAATAATGCAAGACTGTTGCATCACAAATATTAGTTTCTGCTATCAGTGGAAGGCTGGGCTCTCATCATCCTGTTATTAGGCTCTTATCAGCCTGCAGAAAGTCTTGTTCCTCAAATGATTTAGCTGTGTGCTTAACTTTGACCATGTGAATAGTTTTCCTAAGCTGATGGAAATAGCTGCCCTCCCCTAAATCCAGGGACTTTTGTACCAAAATTTAAAATAACAACAATTACTATTACAGTTATTATTATAGGCTCTTGGGTTGGGGCTTTTCTCCCAAGTCAGATACCAGAATTTGAAACAGAATTGGGTTCAGATCAAACCAAAGCACACAGGGATTATGTTTTTTTTTTTTTCAATAAATGAAATAACTGAATTTTTCTTTGTTCTCCAGACTAAAACCTTCACATTACCAAGACCTTTTCCTGCCCATCCCTTCCCCCAATTTCTTTTTAAATACAGAGGAGGATTTTAGCCAAAAACTGAGTTAACAGACACAAGAAACCAAAAAAAAAAAAAATATTAATCCTAACTCTGTATGCCATACTGCACTACTGTCTAAACATCTCCTGGGTGAGGGCTGAAGAAGCACTGGGAAGGTCAAATGTTTTGGTAATCACTTCTTAATCGCTTTTATTAATCACTTAGAATTATCTGGCTAAATTCTCTTTTATTATCACATCTTAGAATTATCAGGCCAAATTGTTTACTGAAAAAAAAATATTAAACAAAAAGGTAAAAGAGCCCAAAGACCTCTTTTCTGGCAAATTCATTCCACATGTAAAGAAGAATGTGCTCAGCTGTACTGATGGCATGGTGAGGTCCTGTGTGCAGCTGACACCTCCCCAGTCCCTTGGTGTGCACATCCCTTCTGCCCAGCGCTGGCATGGACTGGTGCTGACTGACACTGAGCTTTGGCCTCTTCCCCTGCATTTATTGCTATCAGTAGGATCAAAAATTGTTAAAAAAACAGGATGGGACAGACAGGGACACACAGGCCCCTCTGGGAAGCCCAGCTAAGTGTCGGAATCTGAGGTGTTGATGATTCCGAGATTGTAGAAAGTCTCTGTATTTTAGCCCCGCTGCCAAAGCAGAAGCCATAATTCGTCTGTGCTGGTTTCAAGGTTGTTTATTCTGTTTATCTCTAACATGTTCTGCTGCCCTGCCGCAGCTCTGTCCTGCAGGGCAGCGTGTGGGGCTCTGCCCTCAGTGGGATGGTACAAACATTAAATACCAGAAACTACCTGTGCTGGATTTACAATAACGTGCCAATATCTGTCACCTACGTTGGACAGTGTGTCCCCAGCCTGAACCAACAGAAAAATGCCAACACCACAGTGAAACATGGAGGGCATGGAGAAGGAGAAAAAGGACAAAACACACCCAATTTCCTCCATCTTGTCCCCTTTGAACCCCTAATCTAGAATTCTAAAATTTGACTTTTGCACCTGTGCCACACTTAATTATTGCTTATATCAAACACTCAGAGCTTGTAATTCATCCTGTAAGGTTGAAAACTCTTTTCCATGGACAGAGATCACAGCCAGTGTCTCTGGGGGCTCTGTCCAGGGGGAGTTCCTGACCCCTGCCAGGGTCCCAGGGCAGCCAGAGGGAAGCTCTGGATTCCTACAGTAAGTAGCTCCCAAAATTAGTTCACTTGAAAATAGCCCCAGCACTTCTTGCAGCCACCAAAGAGCAGCACCAGAGCAGGAGCACTCAGGAGTTCCAGGAGCAGCATTGCTCTTCATGCTGGGATACCCTGAAAGGACAAGGACAGCAAGGGCACCCACAGAGGATGGGCTTCAGCAGGCACTGCCCTCTGCTCAGATGGCCCTAGCAGTGCTCCAGTTGTTATTTATGGTGTCCTCTGCTCCCATTCAGGGCAGATCTGCATGGGGAAAGAGAGTTAATGGGACATGGAGGACGTGGATGTCGGTGCAAAGCAGAGAGGGGAGCTGGGGATCCCTCAGCAGCAGTGGGGCTGGAGCAGCCCCCAGGCAGAGTGAGGCACAGGCACCCTGGGGCATGGGCAGCAGCAAACCCTTCCTGCCAGGAGAGCTGCAGGATTTCCTCCCACTCCCCTCTCCCCGTGATGAATTACGGCTGCTCCGCGCTCAGAGCCCAGCACAATCCATCTCTCCTGCTCCTCGCCGAGCCCTCCTCCTCCCCACTTTCTTTTCTTAATGAGAACATATTTTTGTTCTTTTTTTTTTTTTTTTTTTTTTTTTTTTTTTTTTTCTGCAATGCTCTTTGCAAGCAGGGCCACAGCAGCAGGGGGTGGCAGTGACAAGGGCAGCGTCCCCCCACTGTCCAGTCTGGTGACAGGGGCCCTGTGCTGTGGCCAGGACTTAAAGATACAAATTTAATACACCCTCCTGGATGCCCCAGGGGTTTTGTGACAAGCCAGGGCTTGCTGGCAGATTTGCCCTCCTGCTGCTCCCTCATCCATCCCCTTCTCCACAGAGATCAGAGGACCGGGCAGGAGGGACGTCTCCATCAACACTTTCCATCCACCTCCTTGTAAAGGTGGCTTTTAAACCAGCCTAACCCAAATGACCCCAAACCTTTGCTGAAACGCCTGGAGGCCTTGGTGAGCTGCATTCAGTAGACAGGGTTGGAAAGGAAACTTTGCTTCAAGGTTTTGCTTTAATTAGTGATCAGTGGCTTTAGGAAGGGTCACTTCCACCTGCAGCCAAAGGAAAATTGTCCCTCCCCAGGTAATTGGGAATTCACAGCCTGGGGCCAGGCTCTCACTGTGTGCGGGGCCATGAGCCCCACACCACACACTGACCCTACAAGAAGTGCATTTGGAGCAGCAGCTGCCATTCAAGGCACTTTCAGCCATCCAGTCGCTGTGCAAGCAGCTCCTGGTTTGCCTTGGCAAGGAAGATCCAGTGCCATGGATTTCCCTGGGGCTGGTACAGGCCCTTTAAAAATCTATGGCTACATCTGGCACCTTTAAAAATCTATGGTTAGATCTGGCAATAAAAATGCAGAACAATCAACATTTGATGCCCAGAAGCTGCTAAACTGAGCTGGACAGCCCAGCCACAAGGATTAGCTGTGGGTGAGATGGGAAGGACAGAGAGCTGGGCTGGGTTTGTCCAGCCAGTGTCATTCTGAATAGTTCAAACCTGCCTTGGTTTGGAGAATTAGCACAGCCCCTCTGGCTTGTGCTTATCCTGGCTCTGTTTTACCCTCCAAGCACTCACAAATGTTGGCAAATAAAAGAAACAAGTTGGTGTTCACCCAGAAGTTTTCCTCAGAGAGATAAAGTCTCTCTCTGCCTGTGCTGGCAGCTGCTGAAAGTGAATTGTCAAAAGCCCCTGGCAGACTGCAGAAGGAATAAGTCAGAATCGGGTCTCTGTCAATACTCCCAATCTCCATAAACCAGATTTATGATACCTGAGGCCACATGGAAGTTTGTAACTGAGCACATAACAGCCATGCCATTAACCTGTGCTATCTATAGCAAAACTCATTGCTTTATGAAGTAGTTTGAGTTACCTCAGAGTATAAAGGGCAGCCCAACTGATCCTGGCGTGTGAAAACCATATTGATTGGGCTGGAGTGCAAATCAGACATGCAGATACACACATTGGTGTGAGGACTCCCTGGCTGGTGCCTCCTCGCTGCTCCCCAGCTCACAGACTGGCACACATTTATCCTCACAAATCTTCTCTCACCCTGTGCCTTGAGAAGGAGTGAGTACCTTGCTTTAATATAGTGCATTCCATCCTGAGGGCTCAAACAATAACCATCGGTAATCAGAATTCATATTTTACCACAAATTCGGATTGAGCTGCTTTTTAGCATTTTGTAGGGACAGAAATGAATTCAGCACCCTGTGAAAAAGGCACGTGAGGCACCACAGAGGAGAGGATGCAAGAAT